GGATGACGGTTCCGTATGCAGCCAAACCGTTCATGACGGCACCCATGGCGTGCTCACGTACACCATATCTGATGTATCGTCCTGACCAGTCACCAAGACCGGTAGCAGGTGGTTGGAAATCAACAGCCTCCTTCCATCTGGTCAAGTTGGAGCCAGTCAAATCGGCTGAACCACCAACAAGTTCTGGGATAGCTTCGTGAATCTTTTGGAGGACGATCTCGGACAACTTTCTTGAAGCAACTGCATCATCTGATGGGGAGTATGTTGGGAGGTTCTTCTCCCATCCTTCTGGGAGCTCTCCAGTCAAGCGGCGCTTGAGATCGGCAGCCTCTGAGGAGTACTTTTCGGTGTACTTCTCGAGCAATTGGTTCCATTCTTGCTCCAAGGCGGCACCGTGGGACGCACGCTCGTGGCAGATGTCGTAAACTTCTTGTGGAACAACGAAAGATTGTTCAGGGTCGAAACCGAATTTCTCCTTAAGTTGCTTAATATCATCAGCCTTAAGAGGGGATCCGTGGACACCGTGGGTGCCTTGTTGCTTGGAACCGAAACCAATGATGGTTCTGAGCTTGATCATGGAAGGCTTGTCCTTGACGGCTTGGCACTTCTTGATAGCAGCCTCCATGGCTTCCAAATCGTTGTCACCGTCGGTGACAGTCTCGACGTGCCATCCATATGACTCAAATCTCTTTACGACATCTTCAGTGAAGGCAACATTGGTGTCACCATCAATGGAAATGTGGTTGTCATCGTAGATAGCAATGAGGTTGCCCAATTGCAAGTGACCAGCCATTGAAGCGGCTTCACTGGCAACACCCTCCATCAAACATCCATCACCGAGGAAACAGTATGTGTAGTTGTTGATAAGCTCAAATCCGGGCTTGTTGAACTCACCAGCTGCGTGGTGTTGTGCGATGGCAAGACCAACAGCGTTGGCAATACCTTGACCGAGAGGACCAGTGGTGACCTCAACACCATCGGTATCGGCGGATTCTGGGTGACCTGGAGTGTGACTATCTATCGACTGGAGAGGAAGCGAATTAGCTAAAAGCCAGGAATTTCAGATCTTTAGACTACTCACTCTGAAAGCTTTGATGTCATCCATGGACAACTTGTAACCGTAAAGGTGGAGAAGGGTATACTGGAGCATGCATGCGTGTCCGTTACTGGAATTTTCGGACAATTAGCTTTTGAATCTTAGATTTTGGTACCAGATTTCTTTGAGAACAATAGAAATGTGAGAGCCAAGGCAGGCTGCAACTAATTTTCTCAAGTAGTATGATTGTAGGCCTCCGGGTAAAGCTTTGTGTTTTCAAATGCAATGCAGTGAAGAAACATCTTGTCTCAAAGGGCATTGATGCGCAAAAGGCTCAATGATAGTAATAAATGGAAATGACTTACGAAAGAACAAATCTATCGCGGTTAACCCAGCTTGAGTTTTTTGGGTTGAAGTTCATGATCTTGTTGAAAAGAACGTGTGCAACTGGTGCCATTCCCCTAAATATCTCATCAGCAAATGTATCTTTTTGTGCCAACTTTGTAAAACTCACATAGGGGCTCCGGGATGACCGGAGTTAGATTTGAAGGTGGCATCGGCCTTGAAGAGAAGATGTCAGTACTTGTTCTGAAGGTGTTGACGTCGAGGTGTTCTCTCGAAAGAAGCTTCGAATTTCCGATCGCGGGGCAAATTCCCAAGGGACAGGGAAAGGGAAAAGTAGAGGCAACTTACAGCAAGAACACGAATAGTGTTGATAGCAAGCTTGTCAACGTCTGTGAAACCCATGATTGCTATTCTATGAAAACGAAAAAGAACTTTTAGGTATAATGAGGATGGTGGAATTCTTTGACCAAAGGTTGTTGAGAAAGAAGAGATGAGTGACAGAGAGGGAGAGAGTTGGAAAGAAGTGTAAAGTAGAAAGGAGGGGCGGACTCAAACGGTAATGAATGTATTTGGCTGGCGCTGTTTTTCTATGGTGGGGTGGAATTGGAATTTGCGTCACAGAAAACAGAATGCTCGGTGAAGGGGTCCACTTTATTGTGGTTTTGCGTGGAATGGGATGGCAATGGATGTGTGTTATGTGTGTTATTCAGCAACAGCAAACGCATATCCCGGTGGAACTGAGTAAGGAAATTATCGCAGACTGTGAGAAGCATCGACGGAGAAATTATTGACTTTTACTGTGGACTACAAAGGTAGGGATGCTCTTCATGTGGTTCATTCATGAAGAGTTTGTCGTGTTTGTTGGCTACTAGGTACTAGATATATAGGTAGACTTGACAGGATTGTATGGAAACCAATTGCATCGAAATCATTGAAATGGTTATGGGAGTGGCAAGAGAATGAGAATGGCAAGAGAACGGCGACGGAATGAGAATGGGAATAGCAACAGAATAGCAATACGATTCGGACCCATCTAGCTACGGAAAATGATCCCTCCCATCATTACAATACCCCCTCCCCCCCTCTCTCATCTGGCCATCACCAAAGATCCCCCATCACAAACTCCCACGGCGATAAAAGTCTACTTTGGCGGCCCTTTCCACCAGGCAGGGCAGGTAAGCTCCCGATGCATTTAGTCTAGATCTTATTTTTGCATGAACGATTAGATGTCAATACGTGATCCCGAAGATATTCTTAGCTACACCAGCAGGTGACTTGCCAATCTTGGGAGACTCCAAGATGAAAATATCATGATACTTACGTTTAACCAACGAGCCAACTCCCTTCATCGGTTTTAAGAAGGCATGATTCGAAGGGCCAAGACATCAAGCATCATTGGTTTGACCCGTTCCTGAATCCGTTTGCTAGGAACATTACTCCGGAAAGATACCAACAACCTACAAAACGTTACACCAACAGTTACCATCACTTACTTTCTACTCAGTCTCAACACTCGGGACATATAAGCCAACATTTAGAAGTGTGGTGCTTTGCTGTGCTTTGCTACCCCGAGTTGCAGAAGGTCCAGTGGAATGTTGATTGGTCTTTCAATCTCTTCTAGCCAAGCTAAGGTTAATCTACGGAAGTTGATGGGATAAATCGTATAAGTCCCATTTTTAATAAAACTTGCTGTTTTATAAAATTCCAATACTGCTTTTGTTAATTTTATTAGAGATTCAGTTATTTCTTTTAGATTTCGAATTTTGAATTTCTTTTATTTGAATTTTCAATTCTTATAATTTTAAAGTTTTTAAAGTTTTTAATAGATTCTAAATAAAGATAGAATAGTATTTCTAAAAAGAAAAGTATGAATTTTGATAAATTTGAGTGATTTTGTAAGGGTTAGAATAAATTTAGAATACTTTCATTATTTAGAGTTTATTATATAAATTTTCAATTAACGTAGTTTAACACCGAGTGGGCCATATCACCGAGTGGGCCATCATTTTTACATACAAAATTCGTCTGTGCATAACCGTGCACTTTCTTTATTTATAGACAGAATTCTCTAAAGATTGAAACTGGAAAATTTAATCATATAAATAATATGAAAATCTAATTATTTATTGAAAATTCAATTTATTATAATAGTTATTATAGAAATGTTTTTTTTTGTAACGAAAATCGTGACAATTTCTACTTATTTTTAGAAAATATAAGAAATTTTTATATCAAAAATAGATTTATAAAAAGCTAAATTCTCATTATTATTTTATATTAATTTTCTTTTAAAAAATAATGATTGATTATTAAAATACAAATATTAAAAAAGCGTTAATTTTGGTGTATTTTGAAGTGGCCCATTCGGTGATATGGCCCACTCGGTGTTAAACTACGTTAGTATAATGATATAATTAATCCAAACAATAAAAATGGGGAAAAGCTTGGTCGCTTTTTGATGTGTTTTACAATACTTATGTCGTCAACCTCCGTAATCCTTCCAAGGTTCTTATCGATAATGGTCCATCGAGCCTCGACTTCTCAGAACATCAAGATTTTCCCCATTCTTCCCATGTCACCTGGGATGAGTGTTGAACACGAGTATCTGCAACCACAAGCTGTATAATTGTCGAACTGGCGTGTGAAGATTGAGAATATCTTGGATTTTCGAAATATCCACCAGATCCGGTTACCAAATCTAGATTGTGATATTCAATCTTGATGGTCGCTTTTTCCCCCTCCACCACTAGCAAGTCTATCTTCACGAGCATTGGTATTTCCAAGGACCATTGGACCCTGAACTTTGAGAAAGTATGAGATCTCCAATCAAATGGACGAATTGAGCCTACGAGATTGATCACCTGGCATCATTTTGACCTCGCGGAGTTATCCATCTCGCGGAGTTATCAATTTCCTGCATGTCTCCAGCAAGCATATGCTGTGACATCTCTGCAGCCTACGGCTCAGATATCCGATTGGGAAGATCGTACAAGACAACCGAATCACGGTACAGCAAGTAGTAATACCCACGATTCTCCTCATTCATGTTGGAGTATCCATCAATACTTCATCCTTGGAACCATAGGCCACATGTATGGAGTAAATGAACATAGCCATAGCACAACATCATGATATAAATGTCCTCGAGACTTGAGATAGCATCTTGCAAACAAATGTGCGACGGTGTCTCATCTGATTGATCTTCCAAACCATGGCTTGCTTACTGTATCCCTTGGAAAATTCAGGATTCGTATGCGAATGCTATCAACGGCATTGCGTTTGCAGTTCTTGCACCACCAAACAAAGCTCGTTGTCCTATCTGCACCACCATCTTAAGTCCTAGCGAGGGTTCGGAGGTTCGCAATCGAAAAGTTTCGCTGGGATCAAGGTTTATCGCTTAGAACTCAGACATCATGCAAACGCGAGAGATTATTATCATTGGGTATAAAAAGTACATACAGGTGAAGCATATGATAGATGCGCATAGTAACATAAACTCCTCATGGCAGAGTATGCCTCCAAACCGACCAAGAGCCAGTCTTATCCGTCTTTTACAATCCAACAACCATGCTCCCAGTCGCCAACGCCGGAAATCACACCCGAATGAAACAATCACAACCTATTCCTTGGATTGCGATCCACTGTCCTCCTGATCAAAACAAAATGCAGAGACGTCGAAAAGTAGCGGATCCATACTTTCCACCTTGGATTCATCCCAGCCCCTGAGATTGGATTGCTCAAAATCTTTCGGTAAGCCCGATACCGACCGCTCGGGATCGGTCTTCCCTTTACGCATTCGATCCAATTCCGACTTGACGCCCGAATACTCCACTTGCAGTGACTCATATGAACGCGAAAGCTCACTGTGACGAACTTCAAGCTCCTCCAATCGTTGCTGGAGTTCACGCATGTGTTTCTCTTTCCTATCCCTGAAAGCTCGTTGAGAAGCCCGGTTTTGGGCTCGGCGACGCTGTGTAGATTCAGTATCATGTTCGCTCGGTAGATAGGTGAACCACTTACCGAATGCACGTGTGAAGCAACCACTTTGTCGTTTCCACCCTTTCTCCTTCGGCGATCATGATCCTCGTAAATACCTTCGATATCTAACTCCACTGGTATCAATCCCACCGGCACACCATTTGGTTGATATTGTATGGGAAATGATGGATAGGTCATATATGTGTTTCCTCCGTATACATGGTCGTTTCCATATACATGATCAAAAGTCTATGAAAACATGAGATTCTGGAGAGAAGTGATGGGTAGAGTCTGAACATACATTGCTGTTGAGTGGTGAGCTTGCTGAAGACTCGCTCGAGGTGTCATATAAATTCATGTCTCCGTGCATTAAATATGGATCGGTAGAACCGTCATGATGAAGAAAGTGGCCGTTTGCCATGTCGAAATCTGAGAAGTGTGGTAGTGATGCTGAGAGGGAGCACTGGATCTTTATGGGATGAAAAGGGGCTGAAGTCTGATTTGTATATTGCGAGGCTATGATGCTCAAATGATATCTGACAAGTATAATCGGAGGGGAGTCTCAGTAACTTTAAATCTTACATCTTCTCTCTTCAAGATTTAGTTCGGGCAAAGATATTCCACGCCGATTCCGAGTGGGGACCGAATATTGCAAAATGAACAAGGCCTATCACTGTCGCGGAATCAAACAATTCAAACTGACATACCGCTGTTAAACATAGACAATACCGCTTGAGGCAAGCGTCCTAACCAATCATAGACAGCAAAAGACTCAAAGGAAGCGGTAACCACTTTTCGCCGGGACATGGGATGGGTACAATACTTTGCATGGAAATTGCTAGGGATACATGACCTCTGCAATTAATCTCTGTCCACGACCCTGACCTCCACAACTCGCGGCCACCAGTCACCGATTGCAAATCCTTCTTGTATTTCATGTGGTAGGGTAGGGGTTCACAGCAAGGTTGCACTGCGTATTAAGGTTACGGACGGGCATGGCCTTGTGGGGGGCCTTTCCATCCAGTCACCACGCGGCTTGGGCAGCGCTTCTTCATTACCTAAACTTCCTCACCAAAGTTGGGAGTGCTTACTTTATGAGCAGTCAGTGAGACCCCCGTCGCTCGTCGTGCTGACATTACAATCTCATCGTCGGTAAAGATCGCTAGCTCGCGTTAGCGCATCGTATCCTGGATTCCTCGTTCTGCTTTATTGCTCTTTTCATCCTCGTGTCTCTCGTACTTTCCTTGCAGGCTGACTGCCAAGAACCGTTCCTCGGACTTACGCTGGTGTGTATATTATATTATTATATTTTCAAAAAAAATTGGTAGGTAGAGAAGACGAGTTTGGCCCGGTGTGGTGGCTGCGGAGTGATGAAATAAAAGGGTGGATTATCCAAGCGAGTTGTAGATACGGAATATCCATGTTTTGGCCGTTATTTTGGCAATGCAGATAGATAAGAGTACACGGGAACGTTACTCTCCAATGTATTCAGATAGTCTAGACATCTCGCATTATGACACAGTATACTATTCGTAACATCACTAGGTAGTCCACAGTACCTAGTCTCCAACCCGCAACATCAAGAGCGTCTATAACCTAACCCCTAACACACACATCGACCCCAACCCACAGTCCACCCCAACAGAACCAACCCATCAATCTCTCTCCTCTCCTCCCAAACCCACCCTCGAAACACTGCGGCTTACACAAGAGATTCCACGCTGCTCGCGCCGCCATTACCAAACACAGCCTAGCCTGAACATTAAAATAACGTCTGTAGGATTCGTACCAGCTCGCTACCACCTGGGACCCCTGCGCGCCCCCAGAAGGAAAAACCCACGTTGTAGATCTCACCATCTCATCCCATCGCGTCTCCAGCGCGGGAATATCCCCATCTCCCTTTATAGGTACCGTAGGATTTTTCTTGTTAGCTTCAAACGTTCAGCATCTAAATAATTCGCAGGACGTCCATTTTTTTTTAAATTGCTTTTTTTTTTTAAACTTTAGTCCACCGCCGCGGGAAGGATTTAGCATCTATGTGTAATTATATGTGCAAACAAGAATCCCAATGATCCGATGTTTTTTCCCTATCGGAATTAGCGCCGTGGGGAATGAACACTTGAATATTTATTTGCCTCATTCTTATTTCGCTTGATTCGAGAAAATCCTCAAGACGTTGTAGATAGCATCATTGGTGATATGTTCTCATATGTTTCACACACTCGAATATGCAAGCAGAGATCACATGGGATTTAAGCTTAAGCTTATCTGCGCATCGAATCTTTGTTTTCTCGGGATAATTAGATGACGAGATGGTGGATTTTGGCTTGGAGTTGTTCGGTGGATGTTCTGATTGTGACTTGTGTGTGTTACTGGATTGAGGCTGAGATGTCTAGAGTTAGTGTAGTGCTGAGGCTTTGGGAATGCATGCATGAGATGGGAGATTTTCGGTTGAATAAGGTTTCTGAGGATATCAAATAGGTTCGTTGGGGAAATTGGAATGCAAAGTATGGTGTTAGATTTCAGTCTGTCACGATCGAAAGGATCCCCTGCTTGTGATGTTCGTATCGATATCTACACTCTACACCCTCACCCTATGCACTTCTCCATCTCCATCTGGATCTCCGTTACGTTTCACAACTACACATATCATTGAACTCCCATCCTCGGATCCCCACGCCAAATTCCAAATCCCCATTCATGAGCCCAACCATCGAGAGCCCCCAAAAGATTAATATCCCATTCCCATTCCTTCCCATCAGTCTCAAATCCCCATCCCAGGGGAAAAAACGTGGAAATCCTACGCCCCCAATGTTTGTCCCACATTAGACTTCTGACTGTGTCACACAATGCTCCTCGCAAAGTCTCTGGCACCTCGAGAGAGAAAATACCATCCTCCTAGTCTCCACATGACATATTCTCGATTTCTCTCTGCAGCTACGGGGCTCGCAGACTAAGCCGTCTAAAAAATTCTCATCACATCACATCTTATTCCCGCACATCACATCTTATTCCCGCACTCTTCCCAACCCAGTAGTTTTGACTACAAAGATACTGTACTCGTATAGCAAAGATATAATATATTACCCGGAAGCATTCATCCATACCCCGGTCCGTAACGCTAGCACCGGTACATGTATACATATCATGCTGGCAGTGAAATATTAGCGTCATGGGTCCAATCTGTAACCTTACGTATCCACTAGGAAACCAAAGGTGCAGAAACCTTCGCGTGCACAAGCCGAAAATGGTAAACTTACCATTGGCTCGAATTGGGAAGAGTAGGTGTCTGGAGATATTGTGACACAATGCTATCTATGTATGTACCCAGCGATGGTTGGCATGGCATGAGGTAAAAGCTTTTGCTTTTTAAATGTTGTGTGTATCCTAACGGTGGTGTGTCCACTTTGGAAAAAAAGAGGGAGAAGGCGGGGTACACGTATTTGCAATTGCGCCCGTTGGTTCTAGCTAATTCCCCCGTTAGATTTCAGTAGCGTGATGATGTATTTAATGCATCTCCCATAGAATTGGGGAACGACACGCCAAGAAAAGTGTTTCTATTGAAGCACTAGATCTGGCTTTCGCACTGATTATTTTCGTATCACTAACTCTCCCCATGATTTTCCTCTTGGGTATCTTGGCACATATCGAACAAGAATACCCGTACCATGTCCATCCAAAAATAAGAATCCGAGAAACTTCTGTATACATACTAGTTCCACGCCCTCCTGCAGATGAAGATGCAGCAGGATAACGAGTTCTTATCACCCTCCTTGTCCCACCAGTGACACGACACATTTGTCATGCTCATCCCGCTTACATACAAGAATCTTACATGTGTCAAAAGAAGTATCAAGACTGGTCGAATATGCAGCGCCACGTACCTTGCCCAAATGAGAAGTCCGCTCAAGCCCGATGGTAGAGATGGACTTCTGTTTGTGGGGCGGAGATGCTCAGATGACATATACATGACATGGACATTTGAAAATGCAGAGGGAAAATGACGATATGGGGTGATGGGCTTGGTATAGCATGAGCATGTCCTGTGTACTGGAATGTTCTGTAGGATGTGACCTTGACAACGATATGGAGGGTTCTTTTTTTTGTTTTCTGCTTTTCTCTTTTCTGGAAAGTACTAGGTACTAGGATATTTGCACCGCAGTGCAGCGCAGCGAAGTGGCTTGACAACTACGAGGTACATGTGCATAAAAAGTCTCGCAATTGCATGTCTAGAGGTACGGACAAGAAATTTGTGGAAGAGCGCAATCAAGATTTTCCTCTGAAGCAATGCTATTTCTTGGTTGGCGTCCAAGTCCCTCCAGATCGACGTATGCGAATGGAAGGAGGGGTAATGAGAGCGTCACCTTGAAGTAATGGTGAGTTTGAGATCTGTGGCGAGAGTCTGGAAGAATGCGAGAGGGGTTGGATGTGGATGGGGTGATTTGCTATGGTATGTTGATATGATACGAGGCGTAGTCTTGTACCTCGCTACTAGAATAACCAGCAGGGGGGGAACACGAGTACCATTGATAGGTGTCTAGACTTCTGAACATCTGCATTTTATGTACGTGGTAAATGTCAAATCTCTCCTAGTATCAAATATGAACTCAAAGCATCAGAAGCTTCAATATCATAGGTCCGGTAAAACATAACCCCAATATCACCTCTAGTAAATAGATTGAAGTGGATCGAGTAAATGGCAATAAACCCACAAATTTTGTATTCCCGATAACATGCCACAAACCTTGAGGCTTATTGTGAACCACTTCATTGAATTTGCACATGGAATCGCTGCCTATCTACTTTACTCTACCGTTCCAAACCGCACATAAAGCCCAGCACGAATTCACACGTTACAATGCATAAAACAAGCTCACTCAACTACCAACTATTGACCAGTAACACAACGCCCATCTAATCTAATCTGCACAGGTGCAGGAAGACGCATGAAGAAACACAGAGTTCGCAAGTTTTACTACGGACAAGATTGATATGTGATGAAGTGTGGTGTATATGGTATTCGGAGTGTGGTGGGGAGATCGACTCGAAGAAGGGGAAGAGAAAAGCTTGAATATGTGATGAGCAGGTGGAGAGGGGAATGGAGAGGGGAATGGAGAGGGGAAAGTAGCTCGGTGAAGAGATAATGAGGGGTAATGGTGAAATGTATAGTAATCATTCAATAATTGAAGATTCTTGGAGCGTTGGCAGTGAGTGAAATATGGAGTGAGATTATGGTAAGAAAAAAGATGTTATTGGAGCGGGGATATGCATTCGGATCCGAAAGGGGAGAGTTTTGGTCGAAGATAAAAGCCGTCTGAGAAGACGGGAAGACCACACATGCTTCTTGTACGATTCAAGTCGGGGGAGCCGATATCAGATCCGAGCTCAAATAATGCAGCGTCGTTGAGCCGCTGTGAACTTGCTGATACAATGCATTGTGTTGTCTCATACCTCACAGCATCTGCATGGGAATCTTTCTCTGACTTTCGCCAACTTTGCTGCATATAGATGTTCTTACATATTCTGTGTTCCAAATGGCGTAGAGGCATCTGTTTGATGCTCACAATAGGATTGGATACCATACATGGTATTTGAAGTTTATCATCTTGCATCGGAAAGAGAATTATGACCAGATACACGACTCTCGGAATCTTAAAATACACTTGTGGATTTATGTCGGTATTCAATTCTCCAACTAACAAGCGAGTTTAATGAGCCGCATCATCAGGGCCGGTTAGCTTGTTCCTTTCGCCAACTGTGAGGCCTGTTAGTAAAGAAAAGAGAAGCAATGGATTCATTGGAAGTAAGAGGATAGACGTATGAAAGATGCATGAGGAGACCTACCATCAAGAGCTACCAGAAATCTGCTAACACAATTGTATGCTGCAATCTATATTTCAAATTTAGCTTTCGCTCTCAGCTTCAAGACGCATCTGATCCCCCTGGTCTCCACTCCACCCCTTTTCACAATACTCCCAGCAATTCTCTCCTCAAGATTCTGTGTCATCTCCAAAGGAAAATTCAACCTACTGTACCCGTCAACTCTACAATTTCCTTTTGATCAAACCACTTTTTCAAATCTTCGAAAACCTCATCCGGTACCCTAACATTCCTAGTCATCTCATCCGTATACTTAATCACAGCCCACTGTTTCGCGCTCAGTCCCTCTGCATCTCCATTCGCATCACCATTTCCCTCCCTCTCACACTTTTCCCTCTTAAGTGTCTCCATGCCCTCATCACTAACTCCTCCTTTCTTCGCCAACGGCGCGTGATGTCCCCATTCATACCAAGCCGTGTTACAGATAGCCACCCTACAAATCGCTATCTCCCTAATATCATCTGCCAGGCTCGTTTGTGTCCTGACTGCTCCAAGGAATGAGTTCCAGCCATCTGCAACAGGGGGACTGTGCAGTAAGGTCAAGTCTAGTGGTTGAAGAGGTCGTGGTGCGCGACGCGCTTCAACACGTTCAATGATTGCGCGGTCAGAGGGAGAGGAGAAGGTTGGGGAAGAGGGGTCAGCGTATGGAAGACGCATTTTGGTGTGTGTGGTTTGATGAATGAGGTGGAGTTGCGTTTGTGTGGGGAGTCGATGGTATCGAAAAGCTGTTTGCTTGATAGTTTGAGAGAAAGAGACTAGAGAAATGGGAGATTTGGCATGAAACTTCATACCATTGAATTGAAACTTGGGGAGGATTCAATACAACTACTTGTGGCTACAGACGTGTTATATATATAAGTTGCACCTACATCACACTACCCCATAGATGTGGGGTTGAGCCGGCCGACATGGGAGAATACTTTCCCGGGAGTTTTAAACGGCAAATGCGAACGGTACCTTCAAATCCAGAAATGGTATATTATGTTCACGCCGACAACGTTACTATGAACAGCTTTATTCGACGGGGATGGGTGTACCAATTCCATGTCATCGGTAGGTATCTTGTAGTTTTATAGATCCGCCATCATGTATATAATATTGTAACCTTACACTTTTGTATCTTCATTTCCTCTACCTTAACCAAAAATACCTCACACCCTTGGAATCTAAGTAATGTCTTTTCAAGGGATCTCATGTTTGTGACACATGGGTCGGGTTTATAGTGACTACAAGCTACAAACTAGGTTAAGTTTTCGTAGCGCTTAGATTGTTGGATCTCGCCCCCAAAACTCGGGCGTTGCATCAAAATACAGAATCTTTAGACATGTCACAACTTTCAAATACTCAACAGATTGCATACGTGAGGTTCTCTGTGTTGAAATGAAAACCCAATACCATATGATTGCTACCAACAATAAAAACTACTAGCATACACGGTCAATTTGACCCTCCTCCACCTCCATCTCTACTTCTAATGCATGTCGGAAACGCCGAAATTTGTGGAATAACAACAATACATATATTTTTAGCCATGAATTGTTCAATTCAAAGCTTCCATCCCGAATCCATCCTCGACGGCCATCATTATAACCCATTCATATATTCACAGTTTGTTGCAGAAGAGAGGTGTGCGTTCAGATTGTCTCGAGGCTCTCTCTGTATGAAGTGATGCGTTTAGCATGAAACATCCAGAGATGCCTTGGAGTTCATGAGAAGAGCAACAATCAATCCGTAAAGACCTGTTAATCATATCAGTCACTGTTTAAATTAATAAAAGAACATATAATCTTACCCAAGACTTCAGCGAAAATCAAAATAAGAATCATTCCGACGAAAAGACGTGGTTGTTGTGCTGTTCCTCTCACACCTGCATCACCAACAATACCAATAGCGAAACCAGCAGCCAAACCAGCAAGACCAACACTGAGACCAGCACCAAGTTGAATGAAACCAGTATATAATGCGAGGTTTTGTTTGAGTCCATCGGAAATCAAGACTGAAACGACGAGACCGTAGATACCGATAATACCAGCCATAATAACGGGAACAATGTCTGTGTAACACATTAGTAGGACTCTCAAAAATCCGATGAACATGGCTCACTCTTGACGATCAAATCCGGTCGGAGAACACCCATTGCGCAAATACCAACACCAGACTTAGCAGTTCCGTAAGCAGCACCGAAACAGGTGAAGACGATGGCGGATGTGCACCCCATGGCGCCGAAGAATGGCTATGCATTGATTAGCATGATGCGTTGATACAGATAATGATTTCAAGTTGTTGGATATCGAATCATCGGTTGGTTGGAAAGCACATCGGAGGTGGCATTCGAGGGAAACTAACCGCGTAGACGGGACTATCATTATTGCTGTCAGTATTTGAATCAAGGCATGAAAATAATCGCGATCATATATATCAGTGCCAACTTTTAGAGATTCTTATCTCGAATGCAAGGCAGGTAGGTAGGTAGTAGGAGCGGGAGGCGTCAAGGAGATAGTTTGTTGACATACCAGAGATCAGACATTTTGAAGGTATTAGAGAAGGTGTTGCTTGGATTTGAAAAGGTATATGAAGCTTGAAGAAGCTTTTGAGGAATTGATTGAAGATTTGGGTTGATGAAAAGCTGAGCTTGGAGAGTTGATGGATAGATGATGATCAGTGATTCAAGGTGGTTTGTACGAGTTGTTTGATGAGGCTTCTCTGGCAAGCTTAGCTTTTCGACCAATCAAGTTATGGATTAGCGCGTAACGTAAGCGAAGCCTTTTCGAGGCACCCGATAAAGATTAATCTTCAGAAAAAAATGCCAGAAGATTTTCAACTTCATCACTACCATTTTTGCAAATCAACCCACAGGGCGAGCCAACGCAAGGAACCCTGAAAAAGTATTTCTAAAGAAACCCTTATCATCGCAGTATATCCTCCAACAAATTGTACGTACTTCCGCCGGTCCAATTGGGTCGATCGCAAAGTCTTCAATTCGATGAGGTCAAGTTCTAACATTCTCTTCCACAGTATACTCAATTCCAAACCAAAATCACAATGGCTGAAGAACAAAACGAATCCGCTGCTTGGCCCGTCGGTAAGAATTATGCAGATACTCTACGACCTGCATTTTACTAACAGGTTACTTTTCAGCCGACAGCACTCTCTCCCAAGAGATCCTCGATCTCGTTCAACAAGCTCAACATTACCGTCAATTGAAAAAGGGAGCCAACGAGACCACCAAGACCCTCAACCGTGGTATTAGCGAAATTGTCATCCTCGCCGCCGATACTGCCCCACTGGCCATTCTCCTCCACCTTCCTCTTCTCTGCGAAGATAAGAACACCCCTTACGTCTACGTACCATCCAAGACTGCTTTGGGACGTGCATGCGGTGTTAGCAGAGCTGTCATCGCAGCAAGCATCACCACCAACGAGGCATCCGACTTGATGGGCCAAATCAGAAGCTTGAAGGATAAGGTCGAGAGACTCCAAATCTAAGCCCTGAATTGGATAGTACATTGACTGGCGCTACACCTTAACTGCGTGATGGCGACAGGCATTGGCTTAGGAAGGAAAGAATCTATGAGTTGAGGATAGGCAAGAAATTAAGCTTGTATACATAATTACAGGTTACAAATACAAATCCATGACTGGGAAACAGACTCGAACATGTGATGACTTTGACATTATTGGTTCTTTTTTTCATTTCTATCATCGATTGTCAAATGAGGCATCGATGGAGTCCTATAGCCCAATTCTCATTCTGACACATTATCTAAAAGCTCTGGACGCTCTTTGGATTTATTCCTTGTGAATGAAAACTCCGAAAGATTCGATCCGTTACAAATGTACAGGAGAACAGCTCGAAGGGCCATAACCAAGACTGAGAACATCATAAGTCTAGAAGCCTACTAGGTATGCCAAGTCAGTTTCATCCATAAATGCGTAATATCTTTCCATTGATTAATTCCAATGCAATATCTCACGCAGATGCAACTCCGAAATCCCCACTTGAAACATTGACGACCATTCTCTAAAAACTTTCAGACTAACACCTTGGAGTCCATATTTGGGTTGAACTGATAGCTAAATAGTGAATGACATCTCGTTGTAAGAATAGATAGATTTCATAGCTCCTGGGTTCTTCGATAGAAGTTAAAGGTTTGAAATTGCGTGACTATGTATAATTTTGATACCTGAAAGTCTTCGTAATCACTACGAGCATTCGATTGTATATTCAAGAAGTAGATTTGGTGAAGTATTTACCGCCTAAATTGGTTTAGAATCTTTCCAGCATCTAGGTAGTCATATGATTGAGGTTGGGGTTCTGAGCAGATAGATAGCGCTTCCTTGATAGGAGGTTATTGATTATTATGTACTGACTATCCTGCGGTTGTGGTCGATTCTTCGCCGGGTCAAGACTTGATTAATCTTTAGATTGATGGCATCTAGTCTAGTTTTACAAACTCAAAGTACTATGGCAGTGACGGCTATGAGTTTGTGGTGCTTTTGGTACAATATACATGTGTACAGGAACAAGATATGTCATATTCGCACTAATTGTACTGAGAATACAATTGAAGACGGTCAAATTAATAGTAGAGATTCTGTAATCATATCTCTACATCTTCTATTGTGTATAATCCTCTACCTGTGTTATGTAAAAATGCTTGACGCTCCCTCTCTAACCAAACCCCGAATGTTACACAATGATATAATACAAGCACACTAACCCTCCTTACAACTTACTCCTGAATCTTTCCGTCTCGTCGCTCTTGACGATATTATCGTTATCCGCATACGGATCAACGGTCAGCCCGTTCAACGGATTCAACTGACTAGCTCTATAGAACATATCCTCGTAAACCTTTCCATCCTTTCTACCCAGCGAAGAATCAAGTTGCCAATCGGGGAATGCCCATGCATCAACTAGACGTAATGCATGTGGTCTAATCTCTCCCAATAACTTCATGACGCTCTTGGTTCGTGCTAATTGGATTTGTCGCACGGTGACAGCAGATGAGGAATAGAATTCTGATGCCTCTTTCTCAAGAGTATTCAGAGCATAGAGACGGTAGAGTTTGTGGAGGACATCAATGGTCTCGGGATCAAGCTCGTATCGGAGAGACTCGCTTTGAAGAGCGTCGTAGAAGTTTTTGACGACGAGGTATTGAGAGTGTGCAGTGCTGAGGCGCCAGAAATCAACAAGGAGAGAGTTCCATGATCCCTTTTCTGCGTCACGATGCTTCAGGGCTTCAAAGGTCAAGAATGATGTTCTCCATGCAAAAGCAGCGACAATGTCACTATCTGAGCCGAGAACATCGTGAGCAGCACCCATATCTTGCTTTTGAAGGAAGGTTGTGAATATTTTAGTTGTGTCGTTGTTGGGGGCATTTCCCTTCAACACGGCGCGAGCAGATTTGAGAAGGTATCGAGCTACTTGCTGCGTGAGCATGTAGTTGTCTCCTTCCCAAGTGGTTGTTGGAAGGTAATCAGCATACCAACTTCCGATACCACTGAAGCTTGAGTATCCATGACCACCACAGGCTCTACGGCAGACCTCGAGACCTTCTGCGGCTGTAGTACTTCCAAGAGCTTTGAGACCACACGATGTAGCATGTAGATCTGCCAATAAATCGCTCCCCGAGTTGAGTTCCTCTGGACCGGCGCCCCTGCTACTATCAGAAGCATTGGTAGCATTCTGTTGCATTCGCTTCTGATTATCTTGGTACAGCCCCATCATGGCCTTTCCAGTAAAGTGCAGAGCAAATGTGGCTGCAAGCAATGGCAATAATCGATATTGTACCATTGTGTAGTTAAGAACCTGGTTCTCCCCAGATGCATCAGCTTCAGCATCCCGATCTTGAAATTGCCGTCTGACAGAGGCATATCTTGTTGCGATGGTCACACCCCGAGCTAAAACACCACCCGATTGAAGGACGATGGTTGATCGGACCCAAGTCAAAGTGCCGTAAATCAAAGATGGTGAAGATGGCTTGACGTATTTGTTTGTTTCAGGGTCGACACTGGAGAATTTGGCCAACATATTAATATGTGGGATCTTGACTTGGTTCAATAACAGGAATCCGTTGTCCATTGTATTGTAGCCAAATTTAGGCCCAATATCTCCCACATAAACACCATCTAATGGCTCATGGGTTTTCATGTCTCTAATCTGGCATACGAAAGGATGTGGGCCGTATGGCTTTCCAGCAATAATCAGTTGTGCCATAACCACAGCATGATTCGCAGTCCTTCCTAAAGACCCGATCCACCATTTTGACGCAGTGAGATGTGGCGAGTGAAGAATGAATGTCTTGTCTTCGGGATTCCAGGTAGCAGTTGTCTCTAAGCCTCGCACATTCGATCCATGTCCCAATTCGGTTTGTGCATAGCATCCAATTGCCTTGTAGTTCTCGGCGGGTTCGAGGAATAATTTGTGTTGTTCAGGTGTGCCTTGGCCACGCAGGGTGGTGAGGTACATCGAAGCATGAAGCCCGTCTAAACTTGATGTTAGTATTCTTTTTGAAAGGTGTTGAAGGTTTTGGGAGTTACATACAAGGAGTCGGCTCGCTAATGAGCTCATTTGCCACCTGATACTCCTCTTGATTCCAGTTATGCTTGACTTGTAGTTGACGAAGTCTCTTCGCCCTTGCGAGAGAAGTCTTGAATCTATCTACTCGACCATCAAAATAGTTATTTGATTTGTCGAATATCTTGTCGGCTTGCAAGATCTTTAATATACGTTCTTGACGCTCTAATACCTCTTTGGTGAATAAAAAGTTCGAGAGCTTTTCGACATGTATATTAGACTTCTCCCTTTCCACCTTGATAAGCTCAGTGCCTTGCGGACCGGATGGCTTCAGATCTTTGACCCATTGTGGAGGTGACATTTTGAACGATTGATATAGAGAAAATGGTTATGATGGTGGGAATCAAAAGTTATAAGGGATCCTTTTGTTCAATGAAATCGGCCCTCGGTCAACAATAGTTTCGAAGGCGTTTGGCACAGGCGCCGGTATTGATGAGTAGAGTTTGGAGCTTCCTTGACAATGGGACCCGGATGCCGAGGTACAAATGCGGGCTTTTGATTGGTAAGAGTCTGTGGAGCAAATAGGGGTAAAATGGGGTTCTCCATTTTGATCTCCATACTTTGAAGGACGAAATTATGTGAGAGCGTTAGATTATTTGAAAGGAAAACGGATTAACGTGGTTTATCACCGAGTGGGCCATATCACCGAGTGGGCTACTTTTACCTCAATTCGCACTCTTTATATTCAATATATGTTTTATTAACCATTTATTATGGAATTTATAAATAAAGAAGTATATTTATTTTTAATCATTAAAGCTTTTCAAAAAGATAAAAAATTAAGTATTCGAAAGGTTGCTAAGCTATATAATATATTTCGTATAATAATCAGCTATAAAATGAACGGTTTAACTCTATATATAGAGATTTGAGCGAATTGCTATAAAATTACAGAATTAGAAGAGAATATGATTATTGAATATATATTTGATATAGATTCAAAAGGATTTCCATTCAATATTAAGAATATAAAAGATATAGTGAATTATATTCTTGAATTGAGGGATTCGAAATGTATTGGAAAGCTTTGGGTATATCGATTTATACAATATCGAATTGAATTAAAGATACATTTTAATTATGTTTATAATTTCCAAAGAGCTTTTTATAAAGATCCTAAGTTTATTAAAAATTGATTTCAAGTGGTTATAAATATATAAGCGAAATATAATATTTTGAATAACAATTTCTATAATTTCAATGAAACAGGCTTTATGATAAGGATTATATCTATAGTAATAATTGTTATTAATATCAAAAGATATAACAGAAGTAAATTAATACAGCTAGGCAATCGAGAATGGGCTATAGCAATAATATGTGGAAATGGAAAGGGTAAAATTATTCCTTCATTTCTAATAGTTTAGGGACAAGTTCACCTCTTCAATTGGTATATTGAAACTGATCTTCCTATGGATTAAGCTATTAAATCTATATCTAATGAATAGACAAACAATGAGACAGGTTTAGAATAGTTGAAACACTTTAATAAGTATATTAAGAATCGAAGAAAGAGCAGATATCGAATATTGATATTAAACAGACATGAAGCTATGGAGCAAAAGCTTTTTAGATATATTATAAAGAGAATGATATTATATGCTTGAATCTATTACTGTATTCAAGTTATTTAATTCAACTACTTGATGTAGACTGTTTTAGGAATCTGAAATGTTTATATAGTGGTTAAATTGATAAATTTATTAAGGCATATATTAATTATATTTTGAAGATTGAATTCTTTATAGCTTTTAAAGCTGTATACAAAGAATCAATCATTTCTTAGAATATGAAATCAGGGTTTAGAGGAGTAGGTTTAATATCTTTTGATTCTGATACTATACTTTCGAAATTGAATATTCAAATTCATACACTTACTCCCCCCTCTTTTGATCTAAATCAATGGATCTCTCAAACCCCTTATAATCCAACTGAAGCTCTTTTTCAATTAACTTTAGTGAAATCTCGAATAACTCGATATCAATCAAGCTTTCCTATATCTATATTCGAGATTATATTAGCTTTAGCTAAAGATACAAAGAGATTAGCTTATAAGAATACACTTTTGAGTATAGAGTGTCACGGATCGCACCCAATCGCAGCTGCGATCGCTCACGTGCGCGCTTGCGCACGTGCACGATCACGTGTACATAGCTAGTATATAGGAGCGCTCTACGAGCGCTTTGCTCCCGATTCTGTAGTTGTAGATTCTAAGGATAAATTGTACCCTGCTCTCGCAGTTCTTCTAAGGCAAAGTGTCACATAGAGATTTGTATACTTCGAAAGGCAAATAAGGTATTAAGCAAGTATCGATATACAAAAAAAATCCAATTATATTAAAGAAAAATACTTATTGAATAAAAGGCTCTTGATATATTATCTTAACAAAAAGTTGATATTCAGATTCAATATAATAAGTATCAAAAAGAAAGGAATTCTAATGGGAAAGCACTTTCTATTTGGTATTATAATAAATACGAAAAGATAGATCATAATATAAGAACCTATCAAAATAATGTAATAGATCCTAGATTATTAGATTCTTAATAGTTTTAATCAATTAATTCAATTGTTGTTGAATAATATAGGTTTGAAGATGTGAATTGAGGTGAAAGTGGCCCACTCGGTGATATGGCCCACTCGGTGATAAACCACGTTATTATATCTTCATCATTATGTAGCGACGTCCTCTGAGAGGTACTTAAGACACAGACGGCTAAAACACACCGTTTACACTCGAACAGGGCTATTGTTGGAAATGCTATCATCCTATTCGTTACAATTTTCATCCTTGTCTGTTTGTACATCTTAAAATCAACCACACACATCTGGTTGAGAAGATCATCAGAATAGATCAAGAGTTTTATGAATATATAAAGCAAGCTGTTTGACGTTGGTGTTGAAGTTGCAATCTCCTAATATGTTGGCAGGCAATGGACGGCATAAGTTGCACACCAAGCTACGAAAATGTCTAATATATAAGTCTCCAACCAAGCTATTTTCAACATTCCAATTCAGATTTAACATTCAAATAGCGAGACAAGTATATATAAAGTATACCGATGACTAGATGCTTGGTGTCCCGTTTTAGTGTGTAGTTTATTTTATCCACGTGGAGATTAATACCGGGAGACTTCTTGAGACGAGGTAAATCTTGAATAGCCAAAGAGGAATAGCCGCCATCTCCTACCTACTGCCTTGAAGCCAATATTGCAACATCTTTCGGATTCATTATTCGCTGTGATAGAGTTGCCGGTGGATGGTGAATCCGCGAAATATTTTCAGAAGCCGTCAACAGGTTGGAAAGTCGTGCCATCGTTCCTTCTGTTTTGAGGGCATACCTTCCATTTCTTGTTGCTTGTGTAGGCAGCTTTAGACATTTCATTATATCAATTTCGAGATGTCCATACATCATGTTCATCATTTCACCCTGAATCATATCTCCGTCTATTCTCATATCCAAATGTCACCTCAATTTCTATTACACCGCTGGATTCAACCTACATTTGCTTTGATGCTCTTATTTCAAGTTATTCGTGTATATTTAAATTACTATCGTCTCGATGCCAACACTTCCGCAGGAACCGCAGCAAGCACACCTGAATCTCAACCAGGATCCATTGTCATTGGAGCCGGTAGAATCTCAGTTGACGTCTGATCCAAATGAACCCAGGCCTTGCACACGGAAGCTGGCCTCAAGGTATTGCATAGAGGCGTGCATAGAGTCTTTAAGCTGGCGTGGATGGCTCTGTTACCTTGCTTGTCTGCTAGTTATCATTATGATAATTGGAATTGTCTGCAGCGCCCATGTATACTATCATGATATGGGAGGGCAAGGTTGGCTCAAATTGAAGCGGAGAAGTCAAGAACGATTTGGCCAAGTACAGAGCTTTTCGGAAGTCTGTCTGCCATCAAGACAGTTGGAACACTACAATCCGATGTTCGCGTTGAGTCCAAGAATGCCAGCCACTGTACCTTGGTACACCTGCGGGGATCAGCAAAACAGTTGTGAAGCATACGCTCATCCAGTGAGTTTTTGTTCGAAACAGAATTTTCTTTCTTTGCTGACCACGTCTTCTTTGCTACAGGAGATTTGCTGTCCTCAAGGCATGATCTGTCGACCTACAACTCACACGACTTCAGGTATATACTGTTGCAATGGAACGTTATCACATTCCAATTGCCGTCTCTTAAGAGCGCATGCAAGATGTAGGCCCAATTACTTTGAATGCCCAGGAGACATGGGAGGAGGTTGTTGCCCTAATTCGACAACTTGTTACAGAGATCAATGTATTCCGGTGTTCAAACAACCATCCCCCGTTCGGCCGTCAAATGGACCAACAGTGACACCCTGGCCAGCTGGTCCAGTACCAAGAGAAGGGGAAATAGCGCAAGGATCACGTCTGATCATATCGTCATTTTGGCGTGCTGGTTATCCTTTTTTGGCGTTGGGTTTCTTAGTCTTTATTGGTGTCATGATGGGGATGCTCTGATAGTAGTTTGAATACATTGTCACGCATAGAACTATTGATGGCGCCAGCGGAATGGTATAGTTTAACAACCAGTAGTTGGCGAATCAAAATTAAGAGATATTACTGTTCCGCGAATTCAATGAACGGCAGTTGATGTGTGGAATTACTGACAGAGCTAGTCGTAAAATTTGAGATATTGATTAAGTCGGTTACCCTACTTTTGGGCCACCCTTGTTTTGGGCTACCCTTTTATATCAAAAATCATTTTTTGGCTTATTGATATTTTCATTAATATATAATATAATTTATTGAAAATTTAGATATATATAATTCAGATCGATTTAAGCTTATTCTGAAAAGTCTAGGATTTTAGGATTTTTCTGAATTGAGATCCAGAGTTTTAAAATATTGATTTTGTGATTTATATAGAAATCATATTGTCACGGGATCACCTCTGGGAGTATTCAGAAGCTTTACCGCTGAGCTAAACGCCCAAAAGACTAGGAGGTAGAACTGGAAGTTCTACCTTACTCTCACATATATAGCAGGACAGGACAGGACAGAAAGGGCTTAGTGTCACCCCGTGACACATATACAGATTTAAAACTTTTATAAAATCTTAAATAACTTTTTAACAACAATTATTAAAAGAAAACTATATATCTTTTTAAATTTTTTAAACTTAAATCTATATAAAAATTTAAAAAAGAATTCAAAAAAATTAACAGATATAGAGATATAATATATAATGAGTTTAGAGTAGTATAAATAATCCCTGTTATTTTAAGGATACTTCTTTAAATATCTATTTATAGGAAATTTTCAGTTTTTTTTAAATCCTCTAAAATAAGTATATTTTAAACTTATAATAAAATTTTATAGTTTATTTTTAGCAGTTTTTTTGAAAAAGTTATGAAAGATTTTACAAAATTTCTAAATTTATATGTGATTCCTATACAAATTAAAAAATCGATATTTTGAAATTCTAAATCTCAATACAGAAAAATCTTTAGAATCTAAAAATTTCAGAATAAACTTAAATCGATCTAAATTATCTATATGAAAATTTTCAATATATTCTATTCATAAATAAGAAAATGAAAAATTTCATTTTTGATATTAAAAGTAATCGAAAAGTGGTCCAAAAGGGGGGTGGCCAGAAAGTGGGATACCCGACTTAATCATCTTTTGTAATTAATTAACCGACACTTGACTTTTCTCATAATTTCAAGAGCCTGTCTTTTAGCCGTTCGAGAAGGACAGACCACAACGATCTGTCTTCGAATCTCGTTGGATCGGAGATTTCCTTGATATACCATGTACATAGCCACTTCCGGACCATTCGAGGCCGATGAATCCATCCCAATCTGCATGGTTCGCGGCGACGTGGGGCTTTGTGTGCATTGATGCAACGATATTCCCTCATCTGTTTTTTCCCACTTAACCACCCCAAAAAATATTAGACGAGGCACAAAAAGCCTCAATCTGTCAATCAAGGAAATTATACACTGCCAAGGCGTCTCAGAAATGTATAAACAGCCGTCAACTATCGAACTGAAATGCTGGACAGCGCTTTCTCCGATGGCAAAAAGAGCCTCAACTTCATAGCCACATCTCTACCTTCTGTTCAAGTATTTTGATCACCGTCACATTGACATCCTCCATTGGCTTTGGATGATCACTGTCGTGTAAAAATGAGGGTCTTGCGATATTAAGTTATGGCGATCACTTCGATGTCGATGCTGTGTTCGTTTATCTCAACATCTCAAGGTTGATCCCGATCTAGGTGGATATCGAGCGGCACAATTGTACAATTTGAGATACTTTTGGCTTTCTGCTTCTCTATTGACGTGATCTTTTCGCCAATCACTGTTCAAAGTCTTTTCAATTCATGATATTGTGGCAACCCACCAAAATACTGATAGCCGACGGATGACCTGGAGAGTGGAATGGATGAGTAAAAGAGCTAGAACTTTTTCATGGGAGTCTAGAAGTACTTTGAGCTGTTTTCTGGACGCCATCATAACAGTGGCTACAGGGCGTTTTTTACTACATGAATTGAAAAGACTTGCGACGAAGTCAGGGACAAGAAAGGATTCCTCTTTTGGCTTTTGACTTTTCGGATTTACACATTTCTGAGACTAACAATTCATAGATCAATTTCCACGAGTCAACCGGGGTGTGCTACCAGTGTGCACGGCTTTCACCCCATATGCAGTGCGACTCGGCCGTGGGATTTGTCGGGCTCGGACATCATATGAATGGCAAAAAAGAGCCACACATCTTCTTCGATTGCTGTCTGTCGAGCCCTGGGATCTACGAAGAACTGTTCATCAAGAAGATCATCTAGATTCGGCTGAGCCAGGAGCCCTTGCCAATATTACCATGTCACTCATTTTATACTCATACTCGCTTCATCCCGCGGAAAAGATTTTATAAGGGTCGTACTAAGATATTTCCACTATAAAACTGGTATTGGTAACCTTTAGCAGCTTTCGCGGTGCGCTTTGTTGGGCCAAGACACCATTCTATGAGAAACTAATCAAGCCTGATATTGACTCGCCCCCCATAGGGCAGTAGGCTTCGAAAGAAAACCCAGGTACCGGTAAACTAGAGCGATTACCTTGATTATCTTGAGAAGCACTCGGATATTATGACTGGCTTCTTCTGCACTGAAGCTAGGGGCAGTAGTTGCCAATATGCATATAACACATAGCACCTCCACCTCCACATGGCAATATGCAGTGTCTAACGTGGGTGCCATCTTTACTTCTTTTTACATTCACTTGGTCCGCCCCCTCATACATATCTCAATTCAAAATAATAAGTTACTTTTATATCTCATCTCCTAAAACGCGAGCTATCTTACCAAAAAGGTAGACGCTTCTAACCATGTCTCTCCTATTTTATAAAAGACCAGATTATACCAACAAAGTAAATGGTCCTTTAAATGCTACGGAATGTCAGCGATATGCTGCAAGAGCGAAAAGTGAGTTATACCTGTCTCATCCAGGTTGATTTGACTAACACTCACCAGATTCTGAACGTTCAATTCCACCTGGGCTACGGTTTGAAGACGTGATTGAAAATCAATCTCTTCCAGTAAGTTTGAAGTCTCTCCATTGAACAATCAGTCTTTTACTGATATTCATTCTAGCCATGCTCCCTGAGTGACTTCATGGACTTCCTTGTTTATATTGAGCACGACGCAGAGAATCTTCAATTTTACCTGTGGTACAAAGACTATGCTCGTCGATTCGAGGCTCTCTCAGATTATGAAAAGAAGCTGTCTCCAGAATGGGTACCGGAAACAACTGAGCCCTCTGCTCTTGCCAAGGACGCAGAAAAGAATGAAGGCAGGAGAAGAAACCCACCAATGGATATTTCGGACTTCAACGATATGGCCGACTTCGATGCGGATGTTAAGTCTAAGGATGGCCAGTCTCATACCAATTTATCGAGGGCCGATAGCGCTCTGGGTAGCCCAACGGCTCCTTCGGTTTTATCAAGCAGTACGGGAGGACGCTCGGGAGAAAAACCAAGTCAACCAGGTCTCAAGTGGCAACCTTGTATGTTCAGAATTTCTTGAACAATAGGATTAGTATTAACTTCATTTAGTCACCGTTCAACCTATGCGAGAAGAGGTCAACCGTATAATGCGACACTATCTCGCTTTCAATTCTGCTCGGGAACTTAACCTATCTCACAAAGACCGCGCTTTATGCCTACACGCCCTTCAACACACCACCCATCCATCCGCCTTCCTACCAGCTGTGACCATAACTGAAGCTACACTTCGAGGCCAATCACATCCGAATTTTATTAGATGGTCTATATGCAACGGCAATAAACCTCGCGTCTTCTTCGTCCGCACCATGGGTGTCAGTAATACAATATTTGGGTTTGTGATAGCGATTCTATTGACGTTATCGAGCGTTAGTCGGTGGTGGAGAATCTTTGCGGGCCTGCAATGGTTTCTAGGAATTAGTTGCTTAATAGCAGCCTACAAAGGTCTTTGCTTGATCATGCATCAATCGCACAACCGTAACCTACGGCCCTGGGAACAAATTCTACAACAAGAAGCCGCCGATGAGGAAAGTGGACGGCACTCTTTTGAGAGTTCATCGGAACGACGATTCAAAATGACGACTCGCACAGGCGACGATCATGATAAGCAAAGCGATGGGGTCACAATTTCTGAAACTTCGACTATGTCGAGTTTTGGCCCGAAGAACGATGTGCAGGAATTTGAGGAAAAATGGAACAAAATATACAAAAAGAAGAACTTGGTGAGGAAGATATTCGATAAGACTACTTGGACTCAAGATGAAAACTTGAGGTTCTTACAAGACAAGATTGTGATTGGGGCTCTCGCTTGGAGTTTGATTATCACGGCGCCGTTAACGATTATATTTGTCGCTTTGCCAAAAGGAAAGTTTTATTAGATTTTGCAGGGATCTGAAAGGTACTAGGTACCCTTGCATTTAGTTCAGGATCAGATGCTTTTGTATATGTTTGGATCGGTTAAAACTTTTCGGTACACTGAGATGATTTTCTTCTATACTTCATTGGGACCAGGCGGGAACTCTGACATTCCTAACCCCCCAAGCGGGTTTTCTTGTAAATATATTAAACGATTCATTACTTCATCTTCCCAAAAGCAATATGACTGCAATTTGATGATTCCACAGTGGACAACCGTGATTGTGATTGTGATTTGAGAAACACAAATGGTAATTTAGGTTTTTCCCAAACACGGGGAATCCCCAGTGGAGATTTTAGCTCCCGGTGAACTTTGCCTTGGCGTGCAGTATTTGGAAGTTTGTGGTCTGTGCTTTTCAAACCTTGGGGAAGAACTAAAAGATTTGATTTTGCCTCTTACATTCACCATCCGATAGGATGTTTGTTTCAGCAAGATGCGGATTTAGTAAACAAGTTTCTGCAAGTGCATTGAGTCGCGTGTTACTATGCTGTGAATTCGAGGTGGGCTGTGTGGCAGTTACGCTCGTGAGGATGTTTTA